CATCAAACACAGCTGACCATTCAGGTTTTTCCAAATTCAGCTAGCTCTCTGCCTGTTTATGGCTCAAAACAACAGAAGGAGATATATCTTCATGGCCTAATTAGTCTAGGCTTCATACACTACACTATATGCACATGAATTCATAGTTCAAGTTGTCTTTAGTATGAAAACAGAGAAATTCAAAACACTTCATAAAGATAATACACCAGAGTAAGGATCCTTATTTTACAAAAGTTACAGATGTCAGCTAGTGTAGTTCAAATTCACAGTTGCATGACTAAAAAAAGAAAAAGGTTCTTATATTATATTAAAGCTTTGTGAATAGAGCTGAATATCAGTTAACCATCTGTACATTGTTACATAGCTAGCAATTGCTATATCAAAACAGAAACCACTTAATTTCACATATTCCAATACTTGGTAAAGTGACCAAGTTGGTCAACTTCAGTTTAATTATTCAATACTACAAAATATAATAGATCAAAATGTACAATCTGTACTGTGCATAATAGTGCACTTTAAGGAACACCAAAGGAAACATTTGTAGAAGAGGACTGCTGGTCAACCTATTACACAATTCAATATATAGAACCTGGTGTCCATGTATTTCTATGTGTAGGATCATGCAGTAGGTTAACTAATAATGCAGTATTTCAGGTTTTGATGGTTGATGTTGCATTAAATCACCAATATTCTTATATCTCTTGTGAATTCCAGGAGAGTCATTTCTGTGCTTAAGTTCCCAAGGTATTACACCTACTGAGATCATTAAAAGAAGGGCTTCCGGTCTTCCTCTTGAATGTTTATTTTATTTCATATTGTGCAGAATGCAATACAAATAGTGGGATTGCAGGATGGGTGGGGGCAATCTTCAGCATGACTGGGAACAGCGCCAGGAATTATGGCTGGGAGATCTCATCGGTGTTATCCTCGAGCTATTAAATGGGGAGATTCAGCACATCTGCAGTTATAACTGAGATATTAATTTTGGGTGGATTGATTCTAATTTCTGCTAAAATGGCTTCATCTTTGTTGAAGCCCAAGATAAAAAGAAAAATATGTCATGAACATCATATTTGTGTTAAATATAAATCAAAAGCAATGATTGTGTAACTTTTGGCACTTAAAACATATACAGGATTATTCAATAGCTGCAACTGAAGATATGTAACAAGCAGTAACCCACAATAGTGAATCAGACATTTCTCACTAATCTATTGTCATTTGTAGCATTTTACAATTCATTCTTTTCTACTGTTATTTTAAAAAAAGAGGGTAAAACCTATACAAATATAGCATAAAACCTTAAAAAAAACCCCACAAAAAAAGTACTCACCATACAAAGTAGGTTATAATTAGCAGCTGCACTGCTCTGTTGATGATTCCAATAGTCCAGCTTTTAACCACCACTGACTTAGTTGTTTCATAGGTAAAGAAGTCGGTAACACAACCCATAGCTCTTCTACACCAAGTTTTCCTCCAACACAGAGTTTGCAAGACTGCTATCACCAGCTGTGTCCTTTTCTCTTGGAGACCAGTTTTTGTTAAAAAGCTTCTAGAATGAGCCTTAATCACAGACACATCATAGAACGTTTGGAGTTTGAACACTTTTCACAAATGCAGAAGAGAATTCTCCAAGCTATTAGTCATACATTATTAAAGCCTTAAACTCACAAAGCCCTTTTTTTCTACAACGACATAGTGATCTATCCGATCTTGCAGATTTTAAGAATGCAATAAAGTAGATCTTCTGTGTCCTTATTTTATTTATTTTTTTCCAATTAGATGTGGTTTTATGGTTCCAATTTTTTGTTTTCTCTGTCCTAGCTGTTTCTAGGTAGTTTGGAACATCATGTCCCCTGAGTTGCCTATTCCTGTCTTTATGAATGTGTCCGAGTTTTTCTGATTGGATCTGTAAGTGAAGATGCTTCCACACTTCTCAGGCGGATGTAACCAGAGTTTGGGTTGAAATCCTCAGCGGAGCATTAAAATGTTTCAATTTGCCAAACTCAATTACTACAGATGAAGTCAGAAGGAATGTAATAACATCAAGGAATAAAAAGACCTCCTTCATGCTAGCAAGAGGCTGTGGGGAAAATAACACACTTAACAATGAGGAGAGAGGAAGAACTACAAGAAAGTATTGAGTAAGAGATCCTCACTAATGCTTAGAGTCAATTATGATGGGCATTTGAGAATTTGTGGTAAAAACTATGGCTCTTTAATGGAATAAAAAAAGGTTATGCTCAGGAATGTGGTGTTTACAACAGGAAGAGTATCCCCGATGACAAAGAAAGTGGTCCTGCATTTGCAAATCTTTTCTTTACAAAAATAAACGTGTTCATTATAGGGATTGTAATGGGAAATGCTTTGCAAAGGGGAACACAGTCTGTAAATTAAATTATTAGCAACATTACAAATGTTCGTTAGAGACCACATTTTTTTTTTGTTTAAAGAACCAATAAACCTAGAACAAAACGGGGCTTATTTATCAAAGTCTTTGATAGTAAACACGTTCTTGTTTTTTCAGAGTAACCAACAAGAAATTGTCTTTTCAGAAATGTCAAAAAAATTCATCTTGTGCATGATTGTTAGGTTAAAAGAAAGCTACCATGAAAAAAATACATAGAATGCCAGAATTGACATCATCCTAAAATGATGATTGCCTGACTATTGTGTTGATCCTTTGGAGCATGCAATTTGATCGTGCCTGATTGCACAATGCTTTAGTCATTTACAAATTATTGTTTTGAGGCGATTCTGCATGCTGTTTGTGTAGCTTGCTTCATAAACAGCAATTTGTTCCATCTGTTTTGCAATTCTGCTCCTAATACCCTGCAACCTACTTTGTTTAATTTTTTGCATTGAGAAATACCTACAGTATATCCAGACTGAAGGTCTGCATTGTGGATATGGACTTCAGCAGTTTTTTTTTGGAAATTAACTGAAGACCCTGCTGATCTCAGCATCTCAGTGCATGTCTACTGACAGCATCATGTCATGTAACCTGGAACCAAAGTCCTGCCTAATACATCTGTCAAAGTAGTTTATACATCATTTAAAAATTACCAGTGCTCCTCTTCCTTTTGAAACTGCAATTTCTTAGCTATCTATGCCCTTCCTGAAGTTTGAACATTTTGTCTGCATGTTTGTTACAAAGCAGTGACCCCAAAAGTATTCAAAGAAAGGGAGTAACGTTAGATCAGCAATAGCAACCCCCATATTTTATTTCTGAAAGGAATATTATTATACAGGATTTATATAGTGCCAAGTTTGCTCAGTGCTTTACAAAATAAAGGGAGACAATACAGCAACAATTCAGTTCAATACAAAAGGGTTAGGAGGGCCCTGCTCCTTGGAGCTTACAATCTTTACTTTCCTATGTACATAACTGTATGTTAAAAGTCAATACAGCCACATTTCAGCTCTCACTTGGTAAGTCAGGCCATTTAGAGCACATTTACAGTTTGTTGGTCTGTTGTGGTGCATTAATGTGTGTTTCATTGTGCACAAGAAATGGTACCACAACTAAACAGTTTCAATGATGTGAGCTGTGATAGTGCTCAAGTCTGAATGGACCAATAAATGTAGATGATTCCTGAATACATCAGATATGCTGACAAGAATCTAGACATATCTGGCAAATATTCGATTAAGAAAGAAAAAAAAAAGGGGCCTATAATAAAATTAAGTTTAAAAACATTCAACTAGAAATTTAGGATTATTTATTTTAAGCTGCTTGCAGCTACTGAAGTCGTGGGATCATTTATTGCTTGTTAGGAACATGTAAACCTTTAAATGTCAATATCATGGCCATATATTCATTGTAATAGAAATCTGGTGCTTTCTCTTCTAAAATATCTTTGGGCATTTTGTAGTTTGTCCCAATCCCTGTCACCATTGCTTGACAGTTTCGTCTGCATGTAAATACAGAGAAGACAAAGGCATGCAAAAACTTAAACGGAATATACTAAATATCAATTATATACATTAACTCTTACATACATTATAACATACAGTTATTCAAATACAGTATTTTTTGCAAGTGTAGTTCTTTAGAATGTAAATCCATTTTATATAAAAAAAAAAAAGCAACTTTCAAAAGTACAACCTTGGAAATGTTGGATATCCAATTTATCTTTTTAATTTTGCAATTGCCATTTGCTATAATTTATAACTTTAAAAACATTTTGAGACTATTATGACACCAGCCTTTCTGTAAAATTGCTTCTGTAAATTGCTTGCCCAGCTAGCCATTTTTCTGGTGTGTGCGGTTTTATTCTATTAGATCAGGAGCGTGGGGGGAACATTAGCAAATCCTAATGCTGAAAATGTCATCCTTTCAGCAAGGCTGTTTAATTGAAATCGAGGGGTATACTGACAAAAAAAAGGCCCAGAGGCCCACACCAAAATTATTAAAAACAATATTTTCATGGATAAGGAAGCCTAACAAGGTAACCAAGATATGAGAAACAAATTGGATGATAGATAACTGTTTTTAGTATATTTTACAGCTGATTTAAGACACGGGTCAAAACCGATCCATTAACATAAGAGATGGTAACAGGAAACTAACACAAGAGGAAGGTTAAAGACTAGTTCTGCACAAAACTGGTATTTCAGTTCTGCATGATTACTAGTTTGTTGAAAAAAATGGCTGGCTCTATACATCTCTCAGGGTACTCTGAGATTAACCAATTGCCTACAGGGCACATATACCCCTTTCCTGCCTGGACCAATTTTCAGCTTTCAGCGCTGTCACACTTTGAATGACAATTGCACGGTCATGCAACACTGTACCCATATGAAATGTATCATTTTTTTTTAGACAGAGCTTTCTTTTGGTGGTATTTAATCACCTCTGGGGGGTTTATTTTTTGCTAAACAAACCAAAAACAACTGAAAATTTTTGAAAAACATTTTTTTTCTTAGTTTCTGTTAATGAGGCTGCAGTGATGGGCACTGATAGGCTACACTGATGAGGAGGCACTGGTAGGTGGCACTGATAGGCAGCACTCATATATGGCACTGATAGGCGACACTGACTGGCACCGATAGGTGGCACTGATAGGCAGCACTGACTGTCACTGATAGGTGGCACTGATAGGCAGCTCAGATGGGCACCGATATGTGGCACTGGCAGGTGGCATTGATGGGGCTCCACTGATCATCAGGGCACACTGATAATCAGTGCCCTGATAATCAGTGTACATGTCCCCTCTGAGTAATGCTGATTACCGGCTCTCCTCTCCTCACAAGCTTTCAGCGTGATAGCTCATGAGGAGAGGAATGCCGATAACCGGCATTTCCTTATTTATATGCGATCAGCTGTGATTGGACACAGCTGATCACATGACAGAGCCAACGTCTTTGGCTCTTTCCATTGATCAGTGATCCGCTGTGTCCCGGGGGCACGCAAACGCAGTTAGAGTGGGAGGATGTCATATGATTTCCTCCCAAAACGAGAGAACTGCCTTGCGCCTGTCATTTCCTTAACTAGTTGCCGACCGCAGATAGCCGAATGACGGCTACACTGCGGCCGGCCAGTTCTGAGTGGACGTCATATGACGTCCTCCCAGAACGCGCTCTCCTGCGCGCCCCAGGGGGCGCGTACCCGGCGATCTCCGTGATCGCTGTGTCCTACGGACACAGCTGATCACGTGATGTGGTAAAAGGCCAATCACAGCGGCCTTTTACCACGTGATCAGTGGTGTCCAATGACACGCTGATCAGAGGGAAATGCAAGTGCCGGTTCTCGGCTGCACTTTCCTCACTCTGTCGGATCGTGAGGAAAGTACTGCCGAGAACCGGCAGTTGTCAGAGCGGGGATCGGCACCGATCATCAGGGCACTGATGATCAGTGCCCTGATGATCGGTGCCCAGCAGTGCCACCCGCAAGTTCCGCCCACCTGTGCCCAGCAGTGCGCCCACTAGCTCCGCCCACCTGTGCCCAGCAGATCACCCACCTGTGCCCAGCAGTGCACCCACCTGTGCCCAGCAATGCACCCACCTGTGCCCAGCAATGCACCCACCTGTGCCACTCTGCAGTGTCACACACCTGTGCCCAGAAGTGCCACCTACCTGTGCCCACCAGTGCCACCCACCTGTGCCCACCCACCAGTGCTGCCCACCAGTGCAGCCCAGCAGTGCTGCCAGTCAGTGCCACCAGTCAGTGCCCAGGGGTTGTGCCAGTCAGTGCCGCCATTCAGTGCCCAGCAGTGATGCCAGTCAGTGCCGTCTATCAGTACCCATCATCAGTGTCATCTATCAGTGCCGCCTATCAGTGCTGCATATTAGTGCCGCCTATCCGTGACACCTCATTAGTGCTGTCTATCAGTGCCGCCTATCCGTGCCACCTCATTAGTGCTGCCTATCAGTGCCCTTTAGTGCTGCCTATCAGTGCCCATCAGTGCCGCCTATCAGTGACCATCTGTGCTGCCTCATCAACCCACATCAGTGAAGGAGAAAAAATACCTGTTTGAAAAATTTTATAATAGAAACAAAGAAACTTTTTTTTTTTTCAAATTTTTTGCACTTTTTTTATTTATAGCGCAAAAAGTAAAGCGCCCAGTGGCGATTAAATACCACCAAAAGAAAGCTCTATTTGTGAGAAAAAAATGATCAAAATTTCATATGGGTACAATGTTGCATGACCGCGCAATTGTCAGTCAAAGTGTGGCAGCGCTGAAAGCTGAAAATTGGCCTGGTAAATAAGGGGGTATAAGTGCCTGGTAGGCAAGTGGTTAAATGGCGGGTGGGAGGCGGTTAAATACCTGCATCAGATCTTTCATACAGTATCTACCCAGCTTCTGAAGATAATGCAAAGTCAAAAATGTCACTTTCACCATAATATTATTATATTATTTTACAGGATTTATATAGCGCCAACAGTTTGCTCAGCGCTTTACAACATAAAGGGAGACAATACAGCAACAATACAGTTCAATACAAGAGTGTTAGGAGGGCTCTGCTCCTTGGAGCTTACAATCTAAGAGACAGAATAAATCCCTGAGGAATGCAGCTACAAATGAGCAGTACCTTGTACTTTATAATGGTCTTGTAGGAAGCTATAGCACTCAGAACAATTAGGTTTTATAGTTATCATAAGAACACAAGTGATTAAACCTTGAAATTCCAACCTAAGAGAAATAAACGTTTTTAAGTGCTGTTGAAGTTAAGCCATCAATTCATTATCTTATGTGGTTACCACCACTGTTCTATGACATATCTGTATTCTATCTACCTCCAAAAAAAGGTCATAAGAAATATGCCATTGGTAAATTGCAGCATTGCCATCTTAAAAGTATAGGACTAGGAGTGGAGGTCCCTATTTTACATACCTGTGCACTCAGAATTGCTGATATATTGCACATACATGACTTGATCAATAATTTGTCATCAGTGTAGGGCAAGGGGAGCAACAACATAGTAAAATTGGTTAGATTAAGATAAGGTGGGCAAAAGGATAACCAAAACATTGTGCACTATAACTAAGGATGAACACATCATGCTTTCTCATAAACAAGTCATTTTACATGTCATTACTTTACAAGAACTCCATAAAAGCAAGCATTCTGTCATGGCTATAATGAACTCTTTATCCAGAAATGCTGGTTTATAGCACACAGACAGCCTAAATACAGAACATGTTACCCAATACACATAACGCATGGTTTTAGTTTGTTAGCATTTAACAGTGCAAAATAAAGAAATAGATGTTATGAAGTCTTTGAAATATAGTGCCAAGAGTAACAATCTCTAATTTTCCATTTAATTACAATGGCTAGTTTTTATTTCATTTTAGGCAACAAATATCTATGTGACGCTCACTAGGGTGTTTGTTTCTATTATTCTCAGCTCCCTCCTCCACTCCACTAAGCCAACTCTTGGAATTTCAAATTGCTTCAATTAACACAAAATGTTTCCTGCTAAGAGAGGAAACCCCAGTGCTATCATTAACACATCAATACTTTTGTTTTTGTCTAATCCACTAACGGTTATTAACACATCAGCATTTTTTTTTTCCAAGAGAGAGACACACATCTTTACAGCGGGTGCTTTCAACCAGCAGCTGGTGGTTACAGCTGGGATCAGAAGCAAAAAAAAAACAAGTCAATTTAAAAGCGCGACAGCAGAAGAAACACCAGGCATTATATCGAGTTTATTTTATATACATACATGCTTTTTTTTCTTGTTTTTTTGTTTTCATTTAAAACATTTTTTGTCTGAGTGAAGATCTATGCTTGTCCCAAGCATGCTTGAATCCATTACTGTTGTCTGACTCACTACCTCAGCTGTAAGTCTATTCCAAGCATCAACTACTCTTGGTGAAATAATACTTTCTAAGATTAGTTTTGAACTTTCCTTTTGTAGATTGAGGTCTTAGACATGTGTTCTTGATTTTGGCTTTATATTGAAAATACTGCCCTCCTGAACCGTATTCATCCTCTTGATGTTTTTAAAGGTTTCAATCATGTCTCCCCCCCCTTCCCTTCTTTCTTCCAGACAGTACTTATTAAGTTACCGAGGTCTCTCACTCAGACCTTTCACCAATTTTGTTTTTGCCAAGCTCTGGACTTGTTTTATCTCATCAATATATTTGTGTAAGCAAAGTCTCCAGAAGTGGATACTCAAGTATATTAAATGAAGTCTAAAGATCTACATAGCAGAATCAGGACCTCCTTCCTTCTACTGTTGACCCCTCTAGTTATGCATCCAAGGATTCTATTCACTTTTCCAACTACCCGGCCACACTGTTTGCTCACTTTGCAATCATCTGAAATGAGCACTCCCAAATTCTTTTTCCTCTGTAGTACTGGCCAACACTGTACACCCAATATTGTTCTCTATCAAGGGAAACTTTTTCCATAGGTGCCTTATTTTATATTTAGAAATATTGAACTACAGGTTCTACTGCTGTGACCAATTTTCCAGCAATGACAAATCATGTTACAGACACTTCCTGGGATATCAACCCTACTGCACACCTGTGTGTAATCTGCAAAAAGGCATACCTTACCCAGCAAACCTTTAATTATATTACTTACAATTTAGACTCAGTTCTATTAAATATTTCCCTTCACTTTCTGTAGACTAAACAGGAAGCGAGAGGATATCTTTCCAATGTGAGGGAATCCCCTCTTAGACAGCTGTCAAAGGGAAGAAGAGATCCTGTCGAAAACAATTGCCCTTTTTCCTGAGAATATCAAAATGCTTTGATGGGTATTTGCCAATCTGGAAGAATGGACATTTCTTTGCAGACTGCCCTGGGAAACATCCACATATAATGCTGAGCCTCCAAAGACTGAAAGAAGTAAAATCCAAAGAGATATGTGTATGTATCAAAGCAGACTTTTGAGGCACCCAAAAACATTTTTGCTAAAAATATATCTTTTTTTTTTTATATTGTGAGAGTGTGAAGCACTGCCACTGTGAAAATGGTTGGAAAAAGAACACAGGGCTTGCATGTGTGCAGAGTGAGGGACTCTAGAGTATCAATCATGAGCAGAGAAAATAGTTTTTTTCAGCTGTCTCCAAATTATGGTATTCCTGGATTGACCTCCGTAGATCCAACTAGAGATGTGCACGATGTAAAAATGTGTTTTGTTTCATTTCAGACTAATTAGTTAAATAAATCATTTTGTTTAATCAAATTCTTTGTTAGAATGATTCATTTTTGCAATTCTTTCATATATTCAGATTAGTTTTGTATATTCATTGTTCCAAATCGGTTTGTATTTTCTTTAGTTATTTTAGAAGAATCATATTTATTTGTTACGTGGTTATGTTATTTTAGCGACTTGGTTGTGACTTCGATGTGACTTTGTTGTTTTGCAACTTTGGCCAATCATAATACAGAACATGACACACATTATTGAACTTACAAAACCCTCTGAAGTCGAAAACAAATCAAATTAATTTGTTTTCATTATAATTTCACATTCATTGAAATTTGTTACTATTGTGATTTGGAGATTCAAATACATCCGAATCTCCAAATAACAAACATTTCATCTAATATTCGATTTGTAATGCAACAAATCACACAGTTTACTTCCAACCCAGTGTCCAAGTTTTGTTGAAGACCAGTAGGGTGTGTGTCTGTTTGCACACAGCCCTTATAATGAAAGCTTGAGGATAGCTCAGGAAAATGGCTGCCATTTGGATTTAGAGCCTCTGTGTGAATATAGTGGCGTGCTCCAGCCAGGAGGGATGACATACTTCCTATGCTGGGGGGACTTTTTTCCCACAGGACTGGGAAAATCAGGACAGCTGAGTAGGTCTGGTGAGACTGGGAAAACCGAGTAACTAGCAAGTCCAGGGGGGCTGGAGGAAGTTTGAATACCCGAAAGTGTGTGAGAACTTGGGACACCAGTACTAGCAGCATAGGTAATGCTAGGTGGGCTAACATTTTTTTCATTATCCATGGTTGCTGGAGAAGACCCACTGCGTGGGCAACCATTTCGTGAGCTTTGTTTTTCTTTTGAATAAACATGGTCTGCTATGACCTTAAATACAGTTCTGACTGATGTGGACTCACTTTAAAAATGCTTACCACCTCTGAGCTAACCGACCTCCATTTCTCAATATACATATTTTGTAGCCGGTTGCTCTGCCTGCTGTGGTCTGTGTGCTACCAGGACACAGTCTTTCATAGTTGGTAAGGTTGGATAAAGACACCAGTCCATCTAGTTCAACCTGTGTGGGTGCGTGTGTGTATATACACATATATATATATATATATATATAGGATGGCGCTATATAAATCCGGTATAATAATTATATATATATATATATATATATATATATATATATATACACACACACTGATTTTGAATGTTTGCCCACTCACACAGAAATGACCAGTCTAAAAATCGAATGGTAGGTGTATTGTAACACAGAGACAGAATAGCAACAA